CCCTCCCCCTCCCCCTCCCCCTGCTCCGGGGGAAAAGCCGCCGAGACGCGAAGCCGCTGCCGCTCCGGATTGTTACCAACGAATCTTTTCTTTTGTCGCTTTTTGCTCCTTTTTCCTCTCTCGCTTCTTTTCTTCATTTAGTAGAAGAAGGAAGCAGCTTCCGAGCTGGTGATACTTCTTTCTTTTCAAGTGATGAAAGCTGCAGATATGAAGGAACTGTTAAATGTTGTGTTTGGTTTTGTCTCGTATTTTACTATCCTTCCTGTGCTATTTCGTGTATTGGGAAGAAAAGTATTGGAATCACACCAACTATATGATCGTCAATTTTCGGTCATATTATTCGTGTTTAAAGCTCTGTTGCGCTGTGATTTCGCAAACACGTCATTAACAAAGTCTAAAAGTGCTATCTCAAAGACGTACAAGATTGATGCATGTGGCGAGGAGAAAATCGCAGTTTCATTCCTCAATATCGGGTTGCCTGTGTAAATCGATGCATATCGTGTCATGATTAACGCTATCAGATTAGAAACGTTTCATTTTTAAATTGGTAAACACATCAGGAATACTTGTGCCGTTTGAGTATCATTAAGATATTAAGATACTTTACCGTATCATTCCTAGCATTGGCCTGTTGACCTTGTTTCTTAAGAGGAGGAAAGAGATTAATTACATAAAGTACTTTAAACTCAGTATACAACAAATTAGATTGCACATGTCAATATGTGATGGGAAAGAGAGTTATCCCACTACATCCGTCAATTTAAATTTCAAGATAACACCTGCAGCTTTGCCCGCATCTGACCCTCTGGGGTGACCCTTACCCACCAAAGTGTTACATGACGCAACAGTCCACGTTCTTCTGGTTTAAATAAAAGCCAATAGATGTCAGTTCAAGGTAGGAGATTCTCCCCTTCCGCCGTGTAGCTCCATTAAAAATTCGTTTCCTCTTCTCGCCGCAGTAGCGCTGAGAGATATTGGCGATTAACATTAAAGAGGAGGAAAGGCTGAGAGCTCCTCCGCAATGTGACTTCGTCTGACTGCAATCATTAGAGGGTTACCATATATCCTCTTTTCCCCAGAAATGTCCTCTTTTTATGTAAGAAAAATCGTTCGAGTGGATTTTACATGAAAGGACGAAATGTCTCTTTTTTATTGGAAGGGGGTATTACTTTTAAGTGTAAACTAGACGTATGATGTGTGAAGGATACTGAGCTTTTTCAACGTATTCGAGTCGCCGACATCATAACATTTGTATAAATAAATGACATTTAACTATCACTAACAATCACCCAAATTCTTTAGATGGACTGGTCTCTTTGAAATGTTCATTATTCCATGAAATGCGACAGTGCTGCTATTAGCTGGTACAACATATTGTGGTGCTGGGTGTATTTGGTGCTCAGCCGTGTAAACACTGTTCTGCTGGCCTGAGGAGTTAACATCTGTTGTGCTTACATTTCGAGCATGATGCTGAAAAGCCTTCACTACTTAACGAAAAGTTCAAAGTGTTTGTTGTAAAGTTCAAACCAAACCAAAGCAAAACAAAGTTCTAATTGTTGATGGAGATTTCATCATCCACCAAATACTGACCAAATATTACAAAAGATGAAAACGCCGTAAGGATAACGAAATAAATGTTATGTTTTTAAGAAAAATATTATTACATTAAAACATTTCACATAAAGTGTCCTCTTTTTTATATGTCCTATTTTCCATGATGGAAATATGGTAACCCTCGATCATTTTCATGAAGCTAAAAGCGCGCGTAGGTTAAAAACTTCTTAAAATTCATATCCTCAAAGTTATCAACTCAAAAATCGGACATTACTCGTCAAACAAACATCAAAGAAATTATATTAGGTGACCATTTCAAGCAGAAGAAGAGAATATGTGAGGTGGACATCACCCCCTGAGAATTCAACATTACCTCCTACTATATCACATATCGAATGCAAAAAGCCGCATTTCGTAATCTTAAATATTGCGAATAATATTTGTGCTGTTAGTAGTTACTTTATCACTCTTCACTTTATAAGGGTATAGCTCGTAAGGTTGGCCCGTTTATCAGAAATTGTCAACAGATAACTGAAATATTTACGTTTCCCAATACAATTCGCTGTGGTACAACTCCACAGTACGGCCCCAAATGACAAATACAGCAAGTAGTAAAATCGGCAAAGCCCTTTAAAACCCACACTTCATTCCATTTGTCCAAACCAGACAGCACCAATACGTCCTTACTAATCCCCACGGCCTATGGCAGAATACTCCCTCTCCCCTTCAATATTTCGCAACTCCCTCCACCGGTCGCATAAAACCCTCGCCTTGCAACCGACATGCTCCCGACCAACAAAATTCGGGAGTTGGTAGTGATTTTACCCCGAAGATGATTAGCGCCAATAAAGAGGGTGGGGTCAATTTTTCCAATTAATATGTGGTTGTACAGTTCATGTAATGAAGGTGCAAATATGCCATTTGCCCCTGATTGGTAGGAAACTAATTGTGCATTAGTGTTTGGGAAGCGCAAAGTCTCTTTAGTACTTGCCAAACACCAATGCACAATGAATTCCCTGCCATATAACAGTGAGTTCCCTAACAATCAGGAGCAAACATTACAAGTATAACTTAATTATAACAGATTCACCACCACATCTCATTAACAAAAAAGTATACTCAGCGATACGTGCCCTAGAAGTTAGTAATAATTATTTTTAGACATTTAAATATTTTTCGACCTTGGTCATCATTAATCGTGAAAATTTAAAAGACACCCAATTTACATTCAGATCCAGCCGGTTGGGCATCCCTGTCTCATTTTGAGAGAGGTTCTCTTTTTCTAAAATATTCTTGTGGTTTTAGATTCCTCCTTTGGCAATTAAAGAAGTCTTACAGAAGACCTCGTTAGTTTTCATTGTTTTGTAAACTGAGTTGTGAAAGTTCTGCTTGTTTCAAAAGAGAGAAGTTTGTTAAGTCTTCTCTGATGGTTCCTCGTTTATTTATTCAATATCTAAAACTCCTTGAGGACTTTTTCAATAAAATTCGTTACCATCTTTACTGTGTCAATAGTTTGCTCATCTAACCTTTACTTCATTGACTTTAATTGATTTGAAATTTTGTAAGTGGCCCCTTGAGTGGCTTATGGTGCTAGCTTCCCGTGGTGCTATCCCGGGTTTTACATTCGGTCGTGGCAAAAATAGAATTGTAGCTTTCCATTACAATTGTCTCAGTTTCTGTAGCTGGGTGACCAAATAAAAGTTAAGGCAAACCAAGTACTGTGAAGAGTACGGAAATACAGCATGCTCGTCACATATCTCCCTTCAGACGTGGATAATAAATGAAAACGTAGCCAGAACTGAGAACACCACTAATTTCTCCAGAGAGATACTCTTTACTTAGGATACAGGTCACGTAGACAAGAAATTGTGGGAAAGCTTCATAGGATATAGTTTTTAGAAGAATATTATTTTATCTCTCTATATTGATAATTAACTATATCTCATCAACATTTCGCTTCTTTATTCCTCCTTTCCAACGAGTTAGTTCAAATATCTATTCTCTTTAGTGTTATTTTATTTTATTTGTTCCTTTCTTATTTGGTATATGTTTATTGAAGCGTTTCTTTTTTGCTTTATAATCGGTTGAGTCGTTTTTTAATAAATGCAGCAGCCAAGAAAAACGTGTTTATGACTTTTTTATTGCTTCCCATACTTGTGTCTAATGGCATTTCGGTGTATATATACAGATAATTTGACTTTTTTTAAATATTATTTTCACAAATTCGTATGTTAGAATTACATACAAGCTGTAGTTAGAATATTATTATTCTGATCATTCCCTTTCTGTTAACACGCTGATGAAATTGGAACAAATGCACTGGACGAATATCTACTTTTAATTTTTTTATTTACTTTACTTATTTTTAACATTAAATTTACTCTCAGTGATGAAACCTTACGCGTTGTAAAACAATCAGAGATTGTATGACCTGCCAATCACCGGTACAGGAGCAGTTATCTAGCAATCAGGTGCGCGACGTTGAAAATTAAATAGCTATAAGTATATATACGATTGTTTCCTCCATACGTTCATTTGCAAAAAGTGATCATCTCCGACCTCTCTAGAATCCCTGGAGGTTTGTACGCTTTATATTGATACGTGTGTGGTCAGACCCTACATCGTGATCTTTTTAGAACACACAGTTGCGCGATTTGGGTCTCTGAGACATATCAAACAATTAGTCTATAGGCATTTTTATAGACAAATTCCCGTCCCCTGGTGTCCTGCTAGACCAAACATTGCATTTTTTGGTCTCCCACGTGGAAAGTTAATGCAACCTAGTTAATGTAGGAGAGTAGAAACTCATCCGTAGACTTTACTTGAAACGATACTATAGTACCTCATTCGCTTTCAAGACTTCCAGCGTCAATTGGTTTTTTAATTAAAAATGACCAAACATCCCCTACCAGTTTGATCAAAAGTCACCTTATTGCTTCAAAATCGATATGCGTCAGTCGGGAGAAATTCCGAACACCCATTTTTCCGATCCCGTTTTCCGATCTTCATTCCGTTAATAAAGTATTCCTTCCGTTAATAAAGTGCTTTTGCAAATAACTCGCACGTCCACCAACATTTTTTGCGATTTTTCATTCTCAATCAGTACCAAGCATGGCTATCATTCCATATTTAACATCATCGCCAATGATGGTGACTAAATTACATATCAAATACGAGGGTGGACTCTCATCCTAGATAATAGACCGTCTAGAGACACTGCCAGACCTGAAGACGCGCACTAATGCCTTAGTCGCGTAAGTGCAGTGAGTGCTATATCCCTCGCGGTGGCGGTGTTCCTTCTCCGTGATATCAGGCGCCGACCTACACGACGCATCGTGGGAGATTTCCCCTCCAGGTGTAACCTCTTACGTCTTACCGTGTCAGCCGGGTCAAACTGCAAGCTCCGACATCCGTAGTAGTGAACTGCTTTTGAATATGAGTGTGAAGCGAGAGCAGAGACAAAAGTGAAGCAAAGTTCACGCGCTGTCCGCGGCCCGCTTGTTAAGGTACTGCTCCAGCATTCCCCTGTCATTAATCAGGGAAACCGCGTAAAACTGCCAATCAGAGCAGTGGGCTGCTAGAAGTCTCCTCCTGACAGCGACTGATTTCGACCTAGCTCTCTAAACCCATCGTCGTCAAAAGTCGCCCATCGTCGTCACTCAAACACTAGGACCTCCCGGAGAGAAACAGTTGGCAAAAGTTGTTTCAATTGAATTCAATTCAATGATGCCTTATTTTCCGTGGCGAGGCTCAGGTCATGAGGCCTGCTCTTCCGCCGACCACGCTCCTTTTACCAATTGGCAGAGAAAGGAGGTTTTACTTTAGCGATAAAACAGACGATCTTAATTTTATTCAGGAGTTTCATTTAGGGTTGACGACCATTTACTTGCGGTAAATCTATGACATGGGACCGCCGGTTTTACTTCCCCTCCGAAGGAAGGGGTACGGAGAGTTTTTCGCGATTAAAATTCCACGACTTCGAACGGATTTCAACCCACAACCTTGGGTATAAGAGCTCGATACGTTCACCGTTACACCTTGGAGCACATCCTGTGGATTCCCTGAGCCATCTCAGCCGGTCTGAGGGGTGCAGTCCTTCACCTTTAGCGCTCCACCGCATCTGGACCGCGGCGCTGCTATCGATCGAGTCGCGCTCACTCGCCAGCCGTAAGCCTGCCCATTAATGTCGGTGCCCCAGGGAGTTTGGAGTGCGCAGGTTGGCATCAATTAAAGCAGGATGTTTGCTTGAGTGTTAGCGCGGGCGTGGTGCAGAATGCGTCAACACGTCTACTGCGAAATTGACGATTCTCCAGCGTATTGAATTTGAAATTGATAAGCAGGTCCGTATCGCGTCAAACCTACCACGTCGTTTAATAATTCACGAGATGAATTAACCTGTTTAAGCCCACCAATACATTCCTAAACGTTGCTGATATAGCGTAGTAATGTTCTGACCGATATTATGTGAAAACATACCAAATATTCTAAGAATAATTTAAGTAAAATGTAACAATGAGTGTTCATTTTCATTGAAAACACGCTAGCAAAAGGTGTACCTACGTGAGAAATGTTTAAAACATTGTAATATTTAACAGAACATATTATCTTGTATGGTAAGACAGGCTAAACATCAAATACGATGTATCAAAAGGTGTAGTATGTTGTCCATCTTATTATTTGATCCTGTTACAACGTCAAGCGCAGTAAATACTTTTTCACAAAGAATAATATATCTGTCTTTCATTATATCAGTATGCATTGTTGAAAAATTTCAAAGTTACCTGAAGTAAGAATAATTTTAAATTATGTCTCATCTACCTATTTAATAAAAACAATACTCAGACTTACCCGCACGAAATTGAAACCACGATGTGTGACGAAAACAAACAACGCCATTACCCAATATTTTAGAACTCGCCCCACTAGATTAGGAGGAACACAACTTTTGCAATCTATAACCCTTCTAAGCAAGCTCCTATTATTGGATAATGCGAGGGGTAGGTATAAATCGCTTGTTACACGTTACTGGGCTTGATAACTTTAAAGAGTTTCGAAATTACAACATTATTTTTGCCGGCTGTGCGAAGAAGAATTGTTTGTCTTTTTTATGCCGTTTGTACCACCGGCCGTGGGCATACCACCTTAACGAATGCCCAATGCACCACGCAGGGGGGGGGGTGACACTGCGTTGGTAGTCACGGTCTGTGGTGAAAGGTTTTAGACGACCACCCGAACTCTGAGTTTCACGGCGTCACTCACGTCGTTAGTCTCAAGTTCAAGACAGTGAGTAAACGATAGTTCCTGGTAGACGGTGAGTAAGCGATAGCTCCTGGTTGTCGGCAACCCACCAGTTGGGTCGACCTTTGGGCAGGATTGGGTGAAAGAGTCTCTTCGTTATGCTCTGGAATCCACATATAAAAGTCCGGCGGGAACCCGATACCATCCGCCAGGTTGCTCAGGTTCTTGCGATACACACGTCGTTAGCCCAAAGGTGTAGTCAGTGCGAAGACGAGAGAGGGTTCCGAGCCTTCCGGACCTTAGCTCGGGTGGTCCCTTGTTGGGCTCTCGACTTTGATCTGGCAGTGCTCCGATACTCTGGGCAAAGAGGAGGGACTTGTCTCGGTGCACGTGAGTGGCGCATTGATTTGTCTTCAGTAATAGGCATTGAATGAGGAGGTTGCCGTGAGGGCAACCTGCGTTTCGATCCGGATCCGGATAGCGGTCTGTCGGCGTACTTGCGCGCCGTCGGGGGTTAGGGTAACAGCGAAATGCTTATGGACCAAACCCGGCAACATGTGTGTCTGGTAGAACCTACAATATAGTGTAATTGTAGACCACGTGAGGATCATACACACTTTATAACTGAAAATGCTTAGTGACATCGGCGGTAGGAGTGGAGGCCGCGCACCGATCGTCGCGTAGCACGTGACCGTTAGCGTGAAACTCACCGCCAAATACTTAATTTCGTAGTTGTACCCGAGCACGGTACAGTGTTGGGAGAATGTGTGCTCTGTTTCTTAAAATAATATAGTGTTTTCTACTTAAGATAAGCTTTTGCACATACATTTTATTTTTTTCTGTTGGCGGTCATTAGGTGACGGATTATAATGAAAATATTTTTTATTTTCACTTACCTTTTAGGACAGACATTTTAATGTTATGTTACAATGAAATGATCGATTTTTATAGGTCATTGTTTTGCATTTTCATCGATTTCGATTAATAAGTCTTTCTTTCATCAATTTTAAAACATTTTTCGCTGATTTCATAGATTTTAATAACATTTAACAGTACTTGCTTCAAATAACATTTACGAGGTGCAACAAATATTCTCCACAGAACTCCC